GCTGGCAGGGAGCCTGAGAGTGAGGCGGGCAGTGAGGCTGGGAGTGAGGCGGGCAGTGAGGCTGGGCAGTGGACCTGGAAGTGCAGGGTGACAGGCCCCATGAGGGGCTGGAGCGAGTGTCCTTGGCTTATGTCACCTTGGAGGCCCCTCCTCACCAGGAAGGAGAGACTGGTCCCTGAGCCCGGTGTGGGTTTGGGGGCTGGTGGCCTGGGCTCCCTGTGGGCCGCGTGCTGCAACCATGGGGCGTCCCAGGGCGAGTGGGTCTGGGCCTTGGGGAGGGGGGTCCTCAAAGGGGCCTCAGCTCCAGAGCGGAGAGAAGCGTGGCTCTGAACACGGGCGCACACGCGCACAGAAAGCAGATAAAAGTGGGCCCTAAAAAACATTAAAAAAACAGTCTCCCCCCACCCCCCGCAGATCAGTCTTCCAGAATCTGTTGTAACAGATTCGCCCGAGCTGGTTAACGGTATTTGCGGTTTGCAAGATGCTGCATGTCCCTGGGAAATGACAGACAAGTTATTATCACCTCCCCACTCGCCTCCTGCCCGAGCCTGCCCACGGCGGGCGCTGGGCACCCCGCTACTGAGGAGTGGGCGCCAGGAATTAACAGCTCCGTGCCTCGCCCACCACCCACCACCGCCGCCTTCTGCCCAGGCCCTGTCAGCCCTGCAGGCCCGACCTCAGCTCCCAGCCGGGCCGGCCCCTGGAGGACTGGGGGTCGGGGAGAGGGGTGGGGTCGGAGGAGGGAAAGGGGGGGCGCAGAGAGGGCAGGGTGGGCATACCCCAGCGTGTGGGCACAGCATTTCCTGCCAGCGTGGGGGATGCGCGCCCCACAGCAGGCAAGTCTGGGCGGCTCCGTGTCAACAGCCGAAGATAAATAAGATTTTATCGGCTCCGAATCTGTTGAAACACATCCATCTAGCGGTTCCGGGGAAGGAGCGGCGGGAGGGCGGGCAGGGAGGGCGTGTCTCCACGGGACCTTTCCCACAGGCCGGCGGGGACCTGTCCTTTCTGCCCGTGTCCTCAGCGCCCCCCCAAGGCCCGGAGCTCTGGGAGGAGGGGCACCCGGCGCCCGGGTGGGGGCTCCAGCGGGCCACACCAGCCCGACCCCAGGCTTGGCCCTCCAGGCTCCCCCGCTGCCCAACCCCGGCCCCAGCTGTCACCCTGATGCTG